TCTAGAACAAAACATACTAGGACAGAATTGTACCACTCCATGTACTGTGAGACCTCACACACGCGACTTCACTCCTCCGTGCCTCCAAAACGAGACCATTATATCTCCCTCATTGGGCTGTGGAGATGTAATTATTTCAAAAGAACAGAACACAAGAATCACCTGTGAATACTCACAATCTCTACTGTCTTTGCCCATGTTTTCTTACTAAAGTTGAATCCATAAACTGCCTGTCCTCTGTTTCCTGAAGATTTCCCACTTGCCAAAGCAGGCCCTTAACTACTTCATCTGTTCACTAGGGCAGGTCACTGACCTTTTCTGTTCACACACCACATCTACTCACTTCTGTGAAAGCTGACCTCACATTTTACCTGCTCATTCAAAGTCTCCAGAGCTTGCTAGTTAGCTCAGTTGGCTAGAGCATGGTGCTGATAACACCAAGGTCCAGGGTTCAATCCCTATACCAGCCAGCCGCCAAAAAAAAAAAGAAAAAAGAAAAAACAAAACGAAGTCTCCTAGGTCCCAAACCAGGTTCTTTCACTCTTTTCTGCTCACTGAAACAGGTCTTCTTGTTTTCATTAATAAACACTCTTTGAGTGATCTCACACATGCTCATTAGAGGTTTCCTGCTGTTAAAGCAGTTCACCATTTTGCTCATTAAAGCTATCAACTTTTCCATTAAAGCAGAAAATTAAAGCTGCACGTCCTCCAGTAACTGACTCCTCAGCCTGTTTTCAGTACCTTCATTAAAGCAGATTGTCTACTCTTAGTTTGTTTTTCTACATATTGCTATAAATCCTATTACTCATCAAACCAATCCCTAACTCACTTCTCCACTTGTTTCTGCAGGTCCTGACCCTGCATTTTGGCAAATTAAAGCAAGCAGGTATAGACTAGTTTTTTGCCTACTCATTAAAGTTCTCTTGTTCTTAATAAAGCCCATCTTATTAACGAAAACAGTCTGACTCCTTAAAGCAGATCCTTGGCTTGCTTTTCTGAAAACTAACAGAAGATCCCCTGATTTACTTCTAACCTATTCATCAAGGCAGACCGCTACCTGGCTTATCTGTACATTGAGATCACTGATACCTAAATTTAAAAAAATATATATGCCTTCTCTAAGTTAGTCTCTGGCTTACTTTATGCACATTCTGGGTCCTCTTGTTTATGTTAAAACAGAAGGTGTCTGGCTTACAAACCATATCATTAATACAGATCTTCTCAGAAACTGGGTAATGACCAATCGCAGCCGTGCACCGCCACAAAAGCCCCTCCTCACCTTTCTCCTTGGAGCCAGTGTCCACGAAGAAAAGCTTTTCATCGGGGGCCTCTGACAACAAGCCACTGGGAGATGGAAATGCAGGACGTCAACCGAGACGTTAGGGAGGGAATAGGTTCGCCTCCCAGGGTCCAGCCTTCCTCTTATGCTCATTCAAGCACCCTCTTCCCACCATGGGACTCTTCCACGCTAAGGCCTCGCTCCACAGTTTACCGAATTTAATATTTAAAAAGCACTAAACTAGAGATGTACTTCTGCTAAAAAAA